CCTAGGAGCAGAGGTACGGGGAGATCCGGCACAATGCCCACCTCGATGGCCCAGGTCCCGGGCTCCGCTGAAATCCGCACTGTACGGGCCGGTACATAGCGGGTGTCTCCGTGCACACACGGCAGCGGCAATTTGGATTTCTGCTCGGGCCTTGGTCATACCAGGGACGGTTGCACGAGGGTGACTGAACTGCCGGAATCCAAGAAGGCCTGTACTGGTTTCCCTTCCAGCTTTACCATCCTGCTGGGGCCTGGGGAAAGTCCGTTCTGATGCAGGAAACACCCGCCATCCAGGCCCGGGCCGTCGGGGCCGGGGGTTCCGTGGGCATTGGCCGCTAATCTGGACTCGGGATACTCGCCACAATATCAATGGTTTAAACTGTTTTTTTTTTTAATCCTTCCTTGATTCTGATTGGCTGAGCCGTGTTCGAAGCTGTTGTAAATTCACTGTAAACCACGACTTCTTGGGGATTATTGCTTTAATAATATAATACGTCATTCTTTAGAGTTAAATGGTTTTCAGGGCTTTTAGTTGTTGCACGCCAGAAAATGATGCCATGAAAATTACATTTCATAAGTGCACTTTTATGCCCTGAACCTTTCTCTACATAACTCATGTTTCTCTCACACAGGACCATAACAAAATTAACTTGCAACCAGATGCGTGTGTCTGATTTTTCTGTTCACGTTACGATCAGGAATCTGATGTTGGTGATGTGAAGATGAGCGAGGGCTTTGGGGATTTACCATTGTTAATGGACAAACTGATCACCAGGGCTTGTACAGATGCTGAAGAGATATTCACTGTTATTTTCTGAGAGATGTCATATTTCGTTTAAATATTCCATGAAATTTACAGATGATGTACATTGTAAGTTTTGATAAAAAATATTTTACTTAAAAAAAAAAGCATGCTGTAGGAAAATTAAATAGATAAATAAGCTTCACTCTAATTTGAAAAATCTTTGTTGGGTAGCTATATCTGAAATATCTGAGACTTTTCAATTCCGATTTTCAATCATATTTTGTACTCGGTCTTTCTGACTTCTCTTGAATCTAGGAGCTCTGTTGCCTTTGCAGACATCCAGCATGCATTACAACCTGAATAACAAATACATTTCAGTTTGATGTTATCCGGTTTATGTGCTGCTGATTCTGTTGTTACTTTTCGTTACTAGTTTTGTAACATTCAGAACATTTTTTTTCAATCAGCTTCAATTGTTGCAGTGCCTGAATAACAGTGCACTGTTAAAAAAAAATTAGTGTGAAATGACAGTATATTCCAGGTGAATAATTGCATTAGTTTCACAGTAATTTCACAGAGGGACATCTCTTGTATCTCACTGCATTCTCAGAAATTTCTTGTAAACAATCAGCATACTGTGTTTTAGTTCTTGTTGGTTTTATTTGTGCTATTAAACTTGTTTTTGGTTCAATTTTAGCAGTCTGTGTGTTGTTGGTTTCTGTTGTGTTGTTTTTATTTGTTGAATGTTACCATTGTTGTGTTTTGTATGTCGAGTATTGCTTCTCTATTGTGAAAGATCCATCCACAAACAGATATGAATATGAAATAAATGACTAGATCAGAAATGTAAATATATGAATATACAAGGTTCAAGGTCACATGTCTACATAGCAGAACAAATCAAGTCAAACAAACTTATATACTATAAATGTACTAATAAGTTAACTTAACAGTTATCTGATGATGTCATAGAATAATTTAAAGACTGTGTGAGTGCGTGCGTGCGTGAGTGTGTGAGTGTGTGTGTGTGTGTGTGTGTGTGTGTGTGTGTGCGTGCGTGTGTTTTAAAATGAAAGTCCTTAAAGGGATCATATGATGCTGCTAAAAAGATCATTATTTTGTGTATTTGGTGTAATGAAATGTGTTTATGCGGTTTAAGGTTCAAAAAACACATTATTTTCCACATACTGTACATTATTGTTTCTCCTCTAT